ACAAATATGTGAATTAGTGGAGAAACAGAAACATGACTAAAAATATGTGAATCTAGAGAGAGAGTAATGGAACGCAGACTTTATGAAGCAGCAGTGGGAGGTAGTATACCATCATTGCATAAGTTACTTGGAGAAGATCCAGAAGTTCTTGATAAATTTATCAAGATTAATTGTTTCGACGAAACTATCTTGCATGTGGCAATACTGCAAGGGCATTTAGATTTTGTAAAAGAAATTCTAGAACGAAGACCGGAGCTTGCTAGAGAGTTAGATTCACAACAATCATCCCCTCTTCACTTGGCATCTGCTAACGGGCAGGTCGAGATAGTGAAAGCATTATTGGGCGTTGATGTCTTGAATGAGCTGGTTCAAACAAGTCCTAATGCAGCGCGACCAAAATAAAGGTAAACGAGGTTAATGCCACTGGATTGACAGCAATGGACATTTTAGCAGAGAGTCGGAGAGATGTAAAGGATTTGGACATTGGGTACTCACTTCGACAAGCCGGAGCCTTTAGAGTCAAAGACATTGAGGACTCACTTCGACAAGGTGGTATTCTGAGGAAGTGGCTGAGAGAAATGCGGAACACGATAATGAAACATTTGCAACATGGTGATGGTACTCTGAGGAAGTGGCTGGTGGAGAAGCGAAACGTGATATTGTTGGTGGCGTCGCTAACAGCGACATTGACCTTCCAAGCTGCTATAAACCCTCCAGGTGGTGTGTGGCAAGATGAGTCGCCTGAAAATTTCCAGGGTAGCCCTGTGCCGAATCCACACAAGGCAGGGGAAGCTGTAATGCCTTATAACCATCCACGACAGTACACAGCTTTCTGGATACCCAACACAATGAGTTTTCTTATGTCTCTATACACGATCATTATGATGTCTCAGACGAAGAGGACGTTCAAGTTCAGATGATGTAAACCATGCCCATGGAAACCAAGAAGCTCCTTTAATTCCAGTTGATGTAGACCATGCCACTGGAGATCAAGAAGCTCCTCAAATTCAAGTTGATGTAAACCATGAATCACCTCAAATTCAGTTAACGTGAGGAATGTCAAAACTTCATTGTTTTTGTCAAGTGTGTGTATTTCCATTTGTCTTTTAAACAGCACTTTCAGACCTCAATTGTACTGGCTTGTAAAATTTATGTTTGTCTTGATTTATTTTAACTTGGTTTGTTGTGAAATCTTGGTTATTTTGTGTAAATCACTCAGAAAAGGAATTCCTGCTTCCAAGTTCAACAAATATGCTACAGAAGAGCAATTCAAGTTTAGATGATGAAGCAATCCATATGGTATCTCATAAGCAACTTGTACAGTTTTGGAGTTCCTTCTACCAAAAACATTCATACTAATCGCAATGAATTTACACTGATACTATGTTTGGCGGAATGAAATTGGAGCCTCTGAAAATGGAGAACTGTGTTTGGCGGCATGGAATTGGAGCCTTGAAAATGAAAAACTGTGTTTGATTTAATTTTCTGAGTTGTTTTTTTCAATTCCACCAATTCCAATTCCAAAACTCCAATTTCATGTTTGCCAAACATTCCATGAATATGCCTCTCTTTTTCCCCGAATCAGAATCAACTTAAATGGCCTTAGATATGGAGACCCCATGTCCCCTTACCTGTTTGTTATGGGAATAGAAGCTTTATCGGTTTTTGACGGAAAACGTTAAAGGATTCCGGTTGAAGTTCCATGAGAGCTGGAAAGCATTGCCCGGTTCAATTGAATTTTGCAGATTATTCAATCCTTATTGCTTCTGCTAAGCCTTTCTCAGTCTATGTTTTTTTAACCACGGCATCATCATAATTCAAATGGTAAAATTTAGTTCAAACTTACCATCCAATTCTAAGACGTAGATTTCGTGTTCCCAAATGCAACATTTAAGTTTAATAGTGTCGGAGATATGTTGATATGTTTGGGATTGTTCATTCATCTCAAAAACAAGTGAATATAGGACTAATGTGTGAGATTGTTAAATATAGGACATGACTCTTGCAAAATAATTGAAGTGGTTGTAAATTTCTTTTAGATAATCATCATCCTTCTCGGAATCACAGAAGTTCCCAAACTGAAAAATAGATATTGCCAAAATTAGAGGATTTCTCAGCTTCCTATTTCTTTATGCCACACAATACTACTCTGGTTAGCTTCTCTTTCTGACAGACATTCTTCATTTCGAGCTCGAGAGTAATGTAGAATGTCGACTCGAAGTTTGATCGAACAATCATGTAGAATGATGGATGGACTCGAGCTTGAACAGCTAGTACTCGACACGCCTCGACTTGGTTCATCTGCAATCCTAAGTAAAAGAACTCGTGATCCAATAATGTTATTGTTTCAGTTGAGAATCATCACAAGAGTGGATGAGGATAATCTTGTGGAGTTAGATTGGGAGAAACAAGAAAAAGGACAGAGCAAAGGAGCATAGATTTGAATTAATTCCATCCAGCTTTCGCGTTCAAATCCACATGTTTTTCAAATGTGGATATACACACACACACACACACACATACATACACACCCTTTAGAGCTAACGCCCATCAACCAAATAAGCCTATGTATCAACGCCAGCCTCTCTCTCCATAACACACACATACACCAGTCTCTTTCTTTCATGACTAAGAGGATATTGATGTTGCCACAGCAAATGAAGATCAGAATTCCAGTGTAATCACGACAAAGATTCAACAACAATCACCTGCAATCCTTTTAAATATATTTCTGGATCGGTTAGTTTTTACATATGAATTTGTTTATAGATATATACATAATATATATATATATATATATATATATATAGGACTGCTTATATATTTGTATCTACATACAAAATCTCTAAGCCGAGCTTAAGCTTCTTCTGAACATTGTCGTGTTCATAAAGAAAAATGTGTGTGAGAGAGACAGAATGGACCAGAGACTTTATGAAGCAGCAGTAGAAGGGAGTATTACCATCGTTGCATGAGTTATTCGGAGAAGATTCAGAGGTTCTTGATAAAAGTTATCGAGATCAATTGTTTCAACGAAACTATCTTGCAAGTGGCAGTACTGCACGGGCATGTAGATTTTGTTAAAGAAATTCTAGAACGAAAACCTGAGCTTGCTGGAGAGTTAAATTCACAATTAGCAAGTGGCAGTACTGCACGGGCATGTAGATTTTGCTGGAGGTGAAAGCATTATTGCTGGCCAAACCTGAGATGTGCGGTTTTCTTGATCAAGATGGCAGAACCCGTCTTCATCTTGCTGCCATTAATGGATGGCCGATTCAATGTCTTAAACGAGCTGGTTCAAACAAGTCCCAATGCGGCTCGAGCACCATTGGACCATGGAAAGACCAATATAATGCATCTATGTGTGCAGCACAATCAGTCAGAGACGTTGAAGCTATTAGTGGAGAAGATGAATGATGAAGAGTTCGCTAATTCTAAGGATGAGTAAGGAAACATCAAGCAGTGGCAGATAAACAAATTGAGGTATGAATGTAATGTTTCTTGCTCACAATGTAGCCATTGCCTAAAGTGTTTTTCTTTATATAAGGTGTAATACAGTAAAAATGTTACTTTAGAGGATTAGTTATACAACGAGTGAGAGTTCACTACATTTCTTACTTGCAAGTTTGTTAGGCTATTTATACTCCATCTCGTTGAGCCAAAATGTTGTGCTGCTAGTTTAAATTTGAATTTCTTTCGTGAATGTGGAAATCGATTTATGCGGATAGTAAAGTATTTGCTCTCGAGCACCAGAAATAAGGTAAATGAGGTCAATGTCAATAGATTGACAGCATTGGACATTTTAGCAGAGTCGGTGAGATGTGAAAGAGTTGGGACATTGGAGAATCACTTTGACAAGCTGGAGCATTAAGAGCCAAAGGAACGCTGTCTGGTAATGAAATTGAAACCATTAGCCCAACCTCAGTGCTCTTGGGTGTACATGCTGAAAGTACACCATTGATGAACGATTTGCAACATAGTGGCGGTACTATGAAGGAGTGGCTGGCGGAGAAGTGGAATTTGATGATGTTGGTAGCGTTGCTAATCGTGATAATGACTTTCCAAACTGCTACAAACCCTCCAGGAGGTGTGTGGCAAGATGACTCACCCGAAAATTTCCAGGGTAGCCCTGTGCCAAATCCACACAAGGCAGGGGATGCTGTAATGGCTTATAACCATCCAGGACCATAGGCATATTTCTCTAACCACAATATTTATGCTCATTACTGAATCCGCCATCAAGAACCGTGCTACATTTTGGGCTTTGATTGGGATCATGTGCTTGACAATTATATCAGTTATGGTAACTATTGCAGTTTCTATTTCCACAATTACTCGAGATAAGTTAGAAGAGAAAATTGTTCATAAAGCTGGTAAAGTTTGTCTAATCATGGGATCCTGCATTCTGACGATCATTCTTATCCTAGCTTTCGTAGCTATTCGCAGACTAAGAAAAGCGTCAAGTTCAGTTGATGTAAGACATGGCAAGGGTGACCAAGAAGCTCCTCAAATTCAGTTAACATTAGGCATGCCAATGTTCATTCTATATGCTAATTGTGTAAATTTCCATTTTTCTTTAAATCAGTATGAAGACTTAGCATAGAATGTATTGATTTGGCTTAAGACCTCAGTTGTAAGTATTGTTGTACTGGTTATTAAGTTTTATGTTTGCCTTGAGAAAATCTATTAATTTATTTGGACTAGGTTTACTTGGAATTCTAGATCATTTTGTGTAAATCATTTCCTGTTTCCGAATTCAACAATTGTAATCTTTCTTAGCATAGATTTCAATTAATGTCTTTCACCTTTTGCTTTCAAATCCAAATGTCTTCCAAATCTATTCACATATCTTATTGAAATATGAGTTATCAAATGTAAATTTAAGCTACACCCCACAAATCCTCGAAGTCTAATCTATCTTATTCCAAATGTCCATCCATTCAATGGAGCCTAAAACATAAGAGATATCAGAACGACATGGAGAAATACAACAGCAGCAAGGCTGAAAATTGAAATAAAAATTTCCATAGAAACCTAAAATGTCAATACATGAGTTTCAATACTAAGAATTTAGTAAGTAATACATGGCAGTTGGCATTACCCCACAAGAAGAAAAAATAAAAATTAAAAAATTCCTCCGGCTTTCGATTTTCTAGTCCTGAATGATACCAGTTGTAAAAATTGGTTCTGGTCCACCTAGAGAGGTCTCAAAATTTACAAAAACCCTAGCCAGTTAAGGGTCTAGTACAAAATTCATTACAGGCCAGGTATCTAACTTTATTCAACACCAACCAATTGAGAAGGCCTTTTATCGTGTTTGAAAAACAAATTGATCACATGGTGATATGTCCATATTTTCTTTTGTCTTCCTTTGGGTTCAAGGGAGTGTCTCTCTTCCCAACTTCTAAGGATATGCCCCTTTCCAAACGAAGAAAGAACAATAACATCAGTGTTCATTTCAACAGCCTCATCAAGAAATCCCATTTTTCTCCATATCATTAGAACCCATTTTCCTTCAAAACCGGCCCTAAATGCATCATATAGGATTCCAACGGTGACAATATCGGGTTTCACATATCGAGCAGGCAGCTCAGAGAGTACGACTTTCAACTGCTTTAGATCTTTCATCTTCAAACAAGCTAACAAGATGATGTTTGCAATGCTTGCATTCCATGGTATTTTTTCTAATTCCATCTCCTGAAGAATCGAATCCATCCCTTTACGGCTCAAAAGACAAGCGTGAGAAAGCAGGCGCAAACACCAAACAAAATCAGTCATGCCAGTTTTAGAAGAAAGATCAAGTCCCAAGTCATCTAATCTAGAAAACATGTGATTCTCAATATAAAATCTAGCCAATTTCCGAATTAAGTCCTCTTTCAAAAGCGTTTTTGAGGTCAAAGCCCTTTTATATACCTTCTCCATCTTGTCCAAGATTCCGAAGTTAGCATATGCCTCAAGCATTGATACTAACGTAGATGACTGCAAATCCATTCTTTTTGAAATTAAAATATGATACACTCTCTCCATTCTTTTGAGCAGCCCAGCTCGTGAAAACTCCCGGATTAGCAAGTTATATGTAATGTGGTCAGGTATACACCCATCGGATTCCATCTTCTTCACACACTTGGCCATCTCATCATACATTCCATGATTCCCATAAGCTTCAATGAGCCCATCGTAGGTTTCCGTATCTGGCTTCAAATTGATTTCCTCCATCTGCTTCAGATAAAACAAACCATCTTCAAACCTCCCTTTTCTGGCAAAGCCATAAATCAATGAATTATAGATCTCCACCGAAGGTTTAAGTCCATGATTCTTCATTTCTTCATATGCCAATACCACATCTTCCATTAGTCCCTCCTCAACTAAGAACCTTATAATCTTCTCATAGTTCAATTCGTTAATTCGCGATTCATTCGTGTTCTTCCATAAACCAAACACCTGTCCACAACATACTTCAGACTTCTATTCAACACTGCCAGTCCCACAAAAACCCATTGTGTTCTTTCCATTGTTTGATTGCTGAGTAAATGTGCGAAAGTAAAAGAATCTAAGGCAGAAAATTTTATTCTTTATTTGGCGCCAGAGAAAACAAGAATCTCTGTTTAGTGTTCAGTTCATAGTAAGTACCAACATGTGGATGAATTGTGGTTACTCTTTCAATTTTTCAGAAACCAAACAAACAAGTATAAGATCCAATAATTTCATTTCTCTATCCGTTCCCTAAGTTTTCCAGGCAACCAAACAATGTAAAACTCCCAACAACCACATAGAGCAGAATCTTGGAAAAACCCAAAAAATATACTACCAGAATTTCCAGCAAAGAAGTCAACTATATTGATATATACACAAATATATAATGTTATACATGCATACATACATCTATAGAGAGAGGGGGGTGCTGACCTGAAGAGCCTCCTTGGATCTTGCGGTTCGTTTGAGAAATTTGATGACAGCCCAAAACTGGTGATTGGTCCAATCTCCATCATCTTTGAGTGTCTGAAGTGGGTTTGAATCTTCCTTTCTGAACCTTTCAGGTAAGGTCCTGATTCTCTGATTTTCATGGGATTTTTCCAGGAGGGGGGTTGTTTGTTTAGTGGAATTCTTCTTGTTAGGCTTTCCATTATATGATTTCCTTTTCAATAGAAGCGAAGCAGAAGAAGGATTTATAGACAAAGAAAGGACTTTGGGTGGTGTTTTTAGGGTTTTTGTGGATGGGCTTTTGGGGAGGCCGTTGTTATTGCCGCTGCTGCCGTTGAATTTCCATGTCGGTGTCGTTTTGCAGGAGATTCCCAGAGTTGATAGCATATCCATACGTCTTCTCTCTCAACAAATTATGCTTAGGTTGCACTTGGCTAAATATGGTTCTAGATCGACTCCCTCCAATTTGTTGGGCTAAGCTTGACCCAGAATTTGTAAGAAGAGCTGACCCGGTCTATGATCTGTGGGCAGCCCACACCTTCCATAGAGCCCAAATGAGGTTGGCTCGGACCTCCTTCTTATTAATATTATTACTACAAAATTTACAGTTGCTCTACTTCTGGTTATGCCCCTTCCACAATGTAGTTTTGTTAACATCTATAAATTTAGGGTTGCACAAAGAATCATTGGAACCGTGAAATGGGTAGGAATCATACCAAACCATCACAAGTTCGGTTCTTTTATGGTTCGATTCCGGTTCCGGTTCTGAAATGAGGAACTGTTAGTTTACGGTTCCGGTTCTGATTCTCTATCCATTAGAACGGAAGTAAACTGAACCGAACCATAAATTAAATATATATTATATATAGAGATATTAAATTTTAATAAACAACAATTTAAATATATATTATAAAGATAAAGCCATGCACAAGTACGCAAAAATATGTTTTTTAGACTACAAATAAAAATAAGGCTACTCTCAAATGATTTTTTACTTCTAAATTTTATATTTATTTCACGAAAAAAAAAAAAAAAAAAAAAAAAAAAAAAAAAAAAAAGATAATAGCTCATTCGCTTTTAGATTACAAGTATATTTTATTTCATGGTTGAGAAGTTTATTATTGCCCATTTGTTATATAAAGTAGTATTTGCTTTGATAAGCCAACTCTATATTATTGGTAGTGAGTTATTGCATCACTCGAGATGATTCCTGCCTGATATCTCCGACCAGTTATGTCATTTTCATTCCAATGATGGTAAGAATACACAATGTATGATTAGTTCTAGACTCATATTTGTCACACCATAAACCCTGAATCATATGTGAAGCAACATTATACAAGTGAACTAAACTAGTAATTTGGTAAAATTAAAAATTATGTATTAAAATTAAAAATTATTATTTGTGGCATTTATTTTCCTTCCTAGGTTTTTGGAATAAAAATTTGTCAGTACAAAATTTTTTATGTCCTTGGTTAGGAGGTGTTCTTGGTCCCACTGAGCATGCCAAAAATTTGTACACACAGATTTTGATTCCGAAAACCTAGGAAGGAAAATAAATGCCACAAATAATAATTTTATTAAATACTCAAAAAAAAATGGAGTACAATTCTTTGTGTTCGATTCTATTACAACTAAAATCTTCCTCTGATTAAATCTCCTTGGAAATGTCAATGCAAGGATTATGATAGCTTGATCCTTAAACCGGTGGTTGAATTTCTCTTGATTTCTTCAAAGTTGAAAAAGACAAACAGATTTCCAAATGAGAGCCGACAGGGGCTTGATCTCGAATGCTGAGTTGAAGGCGCTTGAGAGCAGAGCTTGATAGCACTCCAATCGTTGCTGAGCTTCAAGTCTTCTTTCATTAAATGTCTCTAACTCTTGAAGATAAAGTTATGCGTTCTCTTCATTTGTTAGTCTTTCTTAGATGGCAATCCTTAGTGAAGGGATTTTTTTGCTCAAGGGATAAAACCGCTTCAACATGCACCATATACACGCGAATAAGGCGTTGCTTAAGTGAGGATATGATATGTTGTTCGGTATGCCTAAAGAGGTTCCCTAATTCTTTAATGCTAGTCCTTTTTAGATTTGAAGACTACTTTCTTCAACCGCTAGTCCATTTGCTGGCGCATTGTACATGGAAGACTTATGTTGTTTAAAACTAAACTTTTCACATAAGTCCCTCATCAACTTGTTTTTGAAAGGTAAACCATATTATTAGTGATGATGTGACGAGGCATGCCATATCAAAAGATGATACTGGTTTTAACGAAGTCCACCACAGTTTCTTTATTTTGTTGCTTGATTAGGATTACTTCTGCCCATTTCAAGAAGTATTCTATCGTAGCAAGGATATATACATGACCCTTGGAAGATTTCAAGAAAGGTTCGAACACGTCTAATCCCCATGCATCAAATGGCCAAGATGCAATCGTAGGATGTAAGAGTTCAAGTGGTTAGTGGATGAAATTGGCATGGACTTGATAAGCCTGACACCTTTTTACGTAATTCATGCAGACTTTAACCATAGTTAGCCAGTAGTATCCCATTCTTTTAACTCGGAAGTAGAGCTTAAGACTTGATTGATGAGCCCCGCAGAGCCCCGAGTGTGCTTCCACCATTGCTTGAGTTACTTCATCTTCTCCGAGACAACTAAGAAAAAGACCTTCATTTGACCACTGAAATAATGTATCTTTGTAAAAGATAAATCAAGGTGCTCTTCGGCATACCTCGGTTCTATGTCGAGGATCTTCAGGAAGCTTCCCTTGTTCCAACTAGTCAATGATGGGTTGTCTCCAGTCTTCAGTTTCCATGATCAATCCAAACAAAGATTACATTTGTTTTTTCCAACTGGCCCTTGACCAACTTCGGCAATACCCACTATTGGCATACTAGGATGGTAATTACCACATTTTTTCCTAATGCCATTGTTGTGGCTAAGTTAACCAAATCATCTGCTAAGTGATTTTCTTCCCTTAGGACACATTCTAAAACAACGTTGTCAAATCTACTAAGTAGATTGGAAGCGTACTAAAAACATGAAATCAAGTTATCTTTCTTGACTTCATAATCGTTAAGCAGTTGGTTGATTACTGACTTGGAATCACCATAAACTTTAATGTTTGAAATCTTCATTTCATTTGCCATTTGGAGACCAATTGTCATGGCTTGATACTCAGCCACATTATTTAAGCATTTTTCAGGAAGTGCAAAAGCATATGGCAAAATTGTCTTTGTAGAGAAACGAATACCACGGCCGCCCCTGCTCCTTCAAACCACGCCACAGTATCAAAGAACATCATCCATGGCAGAAGGACATCAACAAAGAACACCTCTTAACTAAGGACATCAACAAAGAACACCTCCTAACCAAGATTCAACAAAGATTTGGAGGTATGGAGGGTGTTAATCCCATGGCACCAAGATTCAATAAATGCCTTCAACATACCCGGATGTCGATCATAAGAAAAGAGAGAGGCAAATACCGCATCATATAGCTTTGCCTCCTTGAGAGAATTTCCGTTACGACTTAGAATGTCTTCTAACCATTCCTAGTATCCTTCAATAAAAGTCATGTCCCACAACATCTTAGACAAGAAATTCCAGCTTACACCTTCATTTCTAACTTTGTTGCCCAGTAGTAAGAATTCAATAACAGTAGCCACTTGCTCATGCAGAGTCGACTGCAACAATAATGTTGTTTGAACAGAAGTTTTCTCCTTAAATCGAAGGGAACCAAACCTTGAAAGCTCACATAAAAATTCATCAAACCAACGAGCCAAATGAAGTGAATTTTCATAATGAGGCACGGAGGGGCCAATCGACTGATCAAAGGCCTCTGGGTATGTAATGTTGTCCCTCTGTCTGGCGGATCACCCTCTTTCTCAATGATGGTCAAGGCTACTCAGCAATTTTTTTTAAAAATGAACATCGTATGGATAAAATAAAATAATAATGATAGAACACCCAAAAAAATATCCTCGAAATAATCACCGAATCATGAGGTGGATTGGCTACGTCAAACCTTTAAGAAAAAGAAAATTCCTGCTTGAATACCCCGCCTTTTAGATATAAACCAAGACTCCATCTTCCAGATGCTATTATCTTCGTCAAGGTGTAAATCAAAACTTGTAAGTAATTTGGAGATCTAGTACTTTTACCACTTTCATTCTCTCTAGACTTTGTAGACTTGGGATTCCATCTGATAGACCACAATGATTTATACAAAACATTATCAAAACTATATAATAAAAATTAAAAAAAACAAAAAAAAAAAAAAACCTAATTTCTTCGATTCTACCGTCACAATGTTGGTTTCATGTTTTGCCCTAATTTTTGCTTTCAAAAACTGAGAGATAGTACCGATTGAATAGTTATGGGAGAAGAAAATTCATTACAGAGTCTAGAGGGAGTGTGAATCCCAGATCGATATTGTTGTGAGAATGTTCTCTCTCATTTAACTTTTTAAATTTATGAGAACTTACATATATATATAAATTTGTGAGAATGTCTAGCAAAAGAGCACATGCAAATGCACGTGGTGTAAATCCAAGTGATTGATAAGATTATAATAAATTATAAAAAAAAAATTATTTGATCAGTAGTTAAGTAAACTTTGATAAACAATAATTTATTTGATGTGAAGTAAGGAATATGATGATATATCTTCATATGTCATCTATATCACAAATGAGTTTCTATTTTTAATTTGCATTTTTGTTACTAGGATTAAATATTTTTTTTAGCTTAATCACACTTTTATCTATAATTAAAGTATTTAAACGAATACAGAATACAAAAGGAAATAAGAATAAAGATGAAAAGAAAACTAAATAATAAATCATCCATTAAAATAATCTAATAATATAATCTTCCAATAAACCAAATCCTCTAACACCAATAACCATCTTGATTACAACTCGAAAATCCATTATGTGGACCCCTAATAAAAATCCCAACTAAAAAACTAAAATAAAACCAAATCCAATACTAAAACATAAAGAAGAATACTACGTAGAAACGAAAGAGTAAAGTAGACTATCTCTACTCAGTATAAACAATCTCTAAATCTAGAACTAACGAACACCTGTAAAATAATAGTGGGTTAGGCCCACGAACAAGTTTTACTCTACTACATCCCGAAAAGAAATCCGATACACATATACATCCTAGTCAACTCAACAATAACTAAGTAATCCGTATATGTATATATATATATATATATACACACACACACACACACACTAAAAGACACTCACTAGACTATAAGATAGGCTCAACCTGAATAGTAGGTAACGTGCAAAACGCACATAAAGTAGGCATGAGTACCTAGACCTACCAGGGCACACATCTATCCATTATAACTATGCATCCCAGGCAATATACGCTCTTTAACTACTGATCCTGATAATCAAGCTCATA